TTATAGTTATGCTGTTACCTAACAACAATTCTAAGCACATTGACTACAGTGTGACAACTTAATTTACCTATCAAAACATAAACGAAATCTATCTAAACCTAGCACCTATATAGCTAGCGGGGTAAAACATCTATTTTTTCTGTTTATTTATTACATTCAATTTTATTATTAAGGATCGCAGCCAGCTGGGTGCGAAGTTTTACAGCACATTGGATTGAACTGCAAAAAAAATGTGACCAACTTTTAAATGGACACCAATGCAGCAGCACAGGACCTGTATTTTATTCTGTCTTTATATTAGCCCCCCTATAATTTCCTCACAACAGGATTAGAGGAAGAAGGGGCAGCTCTGTAAACCAATCAGGCTTTACTAGAGTGTACAGTTGAAAGGGAGTTGACTGACAAGAGTGTGGAGAGCACAGCGCTGATCTCCTCAGTATGTTGCTGAAAAAACTCACCCTTGTATAGCATCTGGTTGGATGTTGCTGTCCCATGTAACTCTGGTGGCCATCTTGGGTCAGGCAGAGTCTATTTAAGAACCTGGCTCCCAGGTTTGGTGTGCATTTTGCAAGTGGTTAGTGTAGTGACAGGTTACTAGACTGTTAGAGACAGTGAATGGCGGTAGGGGAAGGTTCCAGATGAATATGGATGGGTCAGGGACACGCTATCCTCTACAGCAGAGCTCTTGAATTAAAATTTACAGAGGTCCGGTCAGCAATATTTCCTTCCAGCAGAGGTCCGAATCTTGTTAGTGAGTGATATAACACATCACTCACATCAGTCCCCCGATACAGTATCATCTTTAGCGTACCTTTCACACTGTAGTCCACCTACATCGCAGTCCCCTCTTTAAAGAAGTCCCACAATGTCCTCAGTTCCCCTTCACATCACTGCCCCCCTTTACATCACAGCGTCCCTTAACATAACAGCGCCCCTAAAACAACACAGCACCCCTAACACAACACAGCACCCCTAACACAACACAGTGCCCCTTAACACAACACAGCACCCCTAACACAACACAGCGCCCCCAACACAACACAGTGCCCCTAACACAACACAGTGCCCCTTAACACAACACAGTGCCCCTAACACAACACAGTGCCCCTAACACAACACAGCGCCCCTAACACAACACAGCGCCCCTAACACAACACAGCGCCCCTAACACAACACAGCGCCCCTAACACAACACAGCGCCCCTAACACAACACAGTGCCCCTAACACAACACAGTGCCCCTAACACAACACAGTGCCCCTTAACACAACACAGCACCCCTAACACAACACAGCGCCCCTAACACAACACAGTGCCCCTAACACAACACAGTGCCCCTAACACAACACAGCGCCCCTAACACAACACAGTAACCCCTAACACAACACAGTGCCCCCCTTAACACAACACAGCGCCCCTAACACAACACAGTGCCCCTAACACAACACAGTGCCCCTAACACAACACAGTGCCCCTAACACAATACAGTGCCCCTAACACAACACAGTACCCCTTTAGCACAACACAGTGCCCTTTAACACAACACAGTGCCCCTAACACAACAAACACAACACAGTACCCCTTAGCACAACACAGTGCCCTTTAACACAACACAGTGCCCCTAACACAACATAGCGCCCCTAACACAACACAGTGCCCCTAACACAACACAGTGCCCTTAACACAACACAGTGCCCCTAACACAACACAGTGCCCCTAACACAACACAGTGCCCCTAACACACACAGCACCCCTAACACAACACAGCGCCCCTAACACAACACAGCCCCTAACACAACACCTAACACAACACACCCCCCTTTAACACAACACAGTGCCCCTTAACAAACACAACACAGTGCCCCTTAACACAACACAGTGCCCTAACACAACACAGTGACCCTTAACACAACACAGCACCCCTAACACAACACAGTGCCCCTAACACAACACAGTGCCCCTTAACACAACACAGTTCCCTTTAACACAACATAGCACCCCTAACACAACACAGTTCCCTTTAACACAACATAGCACCCCTAACACAACACAGTGCCCTTTAACACAACATAGCACCCCTTTAACACAACACAGTGCCCCTTTAACACACACACCCTTTAACACAACACCTTTACACAACACAGCTTCCCTTAACACAACACAGTGCCCCTTAACACAACACAGCATCCCTTAACAAAGCGCCCCTAACACAACACAGAGCCCCTTAACACAACATAGCACCCTCACAACACAACACAACACAGCCCCAATCACAACATAGCACCCCTAAACATAACACAGCACCCCTAATACAACACAGCACCCCAATCACTCCCTTAACACAACACAGCATTCCTAACACAACATAGCACCCCTTAACACAATACAGTGCCCCAATCACAACACAGCACCCCTAAACATAACACAGCACCCCTTAACACAGTGCCCCTAACACAACATAGCACCCCTTAACACAACACAACCCCATCACAACACAGCTCCCCTTAGCATAACACAGAGCCCCTTTTAATGCAATCCTTCCCCTGCACAGTCCTATGGTACCTTAGGCAGAGCAGAGGCATTAATCCTTCTGGGGTGTCCTCTCCTGGGCCTACAGCCCGCCACTGATGTCATCCTCATAGCGGGCGAGGGTGGGAGGAGCTGCAGATCAGGACTGAGGGGTGAGAGCTGCCCAAGTTATTATTTTAACAAGTGGGCGATTGCCTGGCTTGCTAATATGAAAAGACTCTCACTTTCTGTCTCGGGCTGCAGAGAGCGGAAGTCTTTACATATTAACAAGCTGGGTAATCACCAGCTCCCAACCCTCAGTGCCAATCTGAAGCTCCTCACACCCCACCCACAGTGAGGATGACATCAGTGGCTGAATGAGAGGCCCGGAAGAGGATACCCAGGCGTGGCAGTGGCATGGCTGCAGTCTTGACAGGACTGTTTCCTGGTCCAGTTCAGGACTGCGGTCCACCATTTAGTGACCACTGCTCTACAGGAATCTTCCCATTGGGCACGAACTTACCAGACCACATTCCACCCTCTGATGCAGGTGCTGTCAGTGCATAAGAACCTGCTCCGCTTTACATTGCCACACAAAACTATGAGTGTTCCCAGTCGGTTGTTCCCCCACTGGGTTGTTTGTGACTTTAAGCCATCACTTCAAGTTTTTGTTAATTGCAACTGGACTCAGTGATTACTGTTGCCACACCATGCTGCACCCACCAACACTTGGCGGTAGTTGGCAGCGAGTGCAGAAGGAGCAGGGTCCATCATGGCACTGTTAGGATCAGCCCTGGCTCTAGTACCTAAGTTTAATGGCTCAAATATGCGAGGAGAGATTAGAAAGTACTGCTCGCCATATATCAGGTTCCTACCTGGCTGATCATGGAGCTGGCTATTGACGCCTTAGAAGATGATGCCCACCACAAGCTGATGGCGTTGCTGGAAGAGGAATGAGCCACACTGTAACCGATTGTGTCACAGTTGGAGGGTCTGTCTGGAGAGAATATAATGGGCCCAGAGTTGAGGAGCAGATTCTCCTTTGTCTGGAGACAGCAGAAGGATGAGAGTCTCACTCATTTTGCGGTAGCACTCCAGAACCTTTGGAAAAAGGCCGATATTACTACATCAGATCCTCCCGTAAGGGACCAGTTCATAGTAGGCATGGAAGCTGCCCCAGTCAGAAGAGCACTGCAAATGCAAAACAGGATGCAACCCACCATCTTTTTCTATGACATTATGGTGGATGCGGTTGAGTGAGAGCAAGAAGATGCGGAAGCAACAGTGGCAGTGACTAAAAAGAATGATCCTATAGACCTGAAAGAGGAGGCAAAGAAATGTTTCCAGAATTTGCTGCACTTCCTCAAATCCTTTATTTAATCTTCTTATAAAAATATCACAGCCAGTGCAGGAACAATACAAGGTAATGCGTTTTGCACTGTGGTCAGGTTCTGAGTAAGTGCTGACCACACATTCACTTGTATTGTTCCCGCACTGGCTGTGAGGTTTTTATAAGAAGATTCAATAAAATAAGTATTTGAGAAAGTGCAACAAATTCTGGATTCATTTCTTTGCTTTGTATCTACAGACAAGCTGTGGTAGAACCTTCATTACAAGCTTGCAGCAGGTATCATCTTGATTTATTACCTGGAACAGCTTTCCACTTTTACCCAGGCCTGAAAGAGGAGGCCTTAACTCCTTGATCCTTGTCAGCCCTACAAACGGAACTTAGGGGATTAGCTCAAGATGTGGCCTCCTTGAAATAGGAGATGTCTTCCTTTAAACAGGACTTGTCCCAACTCTTCAAGGACTAGAATTTATTATAGTGAATGCAGGGTCCTGGGAGACCAGATATAGTGAATGCAGGGTCCTGGGAGACCAGATATAGTGAATGCAGGGACCGGGGAGACCAGATATAGTGGATGTAGGGTCCCAGGAGGCCAGATATAGTGAATGCAGGATTCGGAGAGACAAGATATAGTGAATGCAGAATCCTGGGAGACAAGATATAGTGAATGCAGGGTCCTGGGAGACCAGATATAGTGAATGCAGGGTCCAGGGAGACCAGATATAGTGAATGCAGGGTCCTGGGAGACCAGATATAGTGAATGCAGGGTCCTGGGAGACCAAATATAGTGAATGCAGGGTCCTGGGAGACCAGATATAGTGAATGCAGGGTCCTGGGAGACCAGATATAGTGAATGTAGGGTCCATGGAGACCAAATATAGTGAATGCAGGGTCCAGGGAGACAAGATGTAGTGAATGCAGGATCCAGGGAGACCAGATATAGTAAATGCAGGGTCCGGGAAGAGCGGATATAGTGAATGCAGGGTCCGGGGAGACCAGATATAGTGAATGCAGAGTCCAGGCAGACCAGATATAGTGAATGCAGGGTCCTGGGAGACCAGATATAGTGAATGCAGGGTCCTGGGAGACCAGATATAGTGAATGTAGGGTCCATGGAGACCAGATATAGTGAATGCAGGGTCCGAGGAGACCAGATATAGTGAATGCAGGGACCGGGAAGAGCGGATATAGTGAATGCAGGGTGCAGGGAGACCAGATATAGCGAATGCGGGGTCCGGGGAGACCGGATGTAGTGAATGCAGGGTCCGGGGAGATCGGATATAGTGAATGCAGAGTCCTGGGAGACCAGATATAGTGAATGCAGAGTCCGGGGAGACCAGATATAGTAAATGCAGGGTCCAGGCAGACCAGATATAGTGAATGCAGGGTCTGGGGTTTAGTAACACTTTACGCAGGATCTGCAACATGTTATGGCTGTATGTGTTTAATTCAGGGCATGAGAACAGTTATTTTATATACATATATACAAACAATATATTCAAACAGTTCCTATAAACTAGGTCCTAATACAAGTCTGTTTTCCTAGTTTGAAGAAAGGTATGTTTACTGTAACAGTAAAAACCCCAGGACATTTTTGAAGTAGACCTATTGTGAAGCGTACCGGTTTCCCATTGTTGGCAGTTATCTGGTTTTGCAGGAAATGCTTTTGGTTATGTTGTAGTTGTTTATCAAATCAAAGCAAACATTGTGTATGTATATCAATCATTGACCAGCAAACATGGGATTCTCAGCCCTTCCACACACTTCAAAAGCTTTCTGTACATTAGGAGTTACAGTATATCTATAGTGAGTACCTGCCCAGCATTTCCACTTACCACACCTCAGTCTTCTCCCACTACTTCATTTTCAGCAGCAAAGAGTTACACAGTCTGGTTGAAAAAAGACAGAAATCCATCTAGTTCAAGCAAGAGAAAAAATAAATAAATGAATAAATAAATAAATAGAAAGCCTTCATGTACAGAATCCTACACCTACAGGCAAAAAAAACCCCAATAAAGCATGATCCATTTTGCTCCAGTGAGGAAAAATAAATTCCTTCTTCATCCCCCAAAAGGCAATATAATGCTGATAAGAAAAGGTATTTAGTTGTTTATAATTACTAAAATAATTGCATTTCCATGTTCTGTGTTTTGTGGGAGACCAGATATAGTGGATGCAGGGTCCTGGGAGACCAGATATAGTGAATGCAGGGTACGGGGAGAGCAGATATAGTGAATGCAGGGTCCGGGGAGATCGGATGTAGTGAATGCAGGGTCCGGGGAGATCGGATATAGTGAATGCAGGGTCCTGGGAGATCAAATATAGTGGATGCAGGGTCCTGGGAGACCAGATATAGTGAATGCAGGGTCCGGGGAGACCAATATAGTGAATGTAGGGATCGGGGAGACCAGATATAGTGAATGCAGGGTCCTGGGAGATCAGATATAGTGAATGTAGGGATCGGGGAGAACAGATATAGTGAATGCAGGGTCCTGGGAGACCAGATATAGTGAATGTAGGGATCGGGGAGAACAGATATAGTGAATGCAGGGTCCTGGGAGATCAGATATAGTGAATGCAGGGTCCTGGGAGATCAGATATAGTGAATGCAGGGTTCGGAGAGACAAGATATAGTGAATGCAGGATCCTGGGAGACAAGATATAGTGAATGCAGGGTCCTGGGAGACCAGATATAGTGAATGCAGGGTCCTGGGAGACCAGATATTGTGAATGCAGGGTCCGGGGAGATCAGATATAGTGAATGCAGGGTCCTGGGAGACCAGATATAGTGAATGCAGGGTCCGGGGAGATCAGATATAGTGAATGCAGGGTCCTGGGAGACCAGATATAGTGAATGCAGGGTCTGGGGTTTAGTAACACTTTAAATATTCTTCAGGACAAGCTATAATAAAGTCTGTGCTTGCAGCAAACAGTAGATTCCAGTTTAAGGTAGTGGTAGTAGTAGTAGTAGTAAGAGTAATAGTGGTGGTAGTTAGCTATAAATCTCTTTCTCTCTCTTCAAGAGCAGAGTCCCTTCTAGTAGAAGATTAGATGGACAAAGCTCTCCAGGACACCAGCCAGTGTCCCTTTTAACTAGACCCACAGCTGACTCCCTAGCACCAGAGGGGTATTAGCAATACAAAGTCTCTAAGATCCTTCAGCGGTGTTTGTACTCACAAGGCCCAAGGACAGATGGTTGCCTTCTTCCATGATACCAGAGCAGATCTTCAGTAGACAGCCCTTCAGTCAGCTCTTAGAAGCGCACTGGTCTCTGCATTTAGACCCTCAGGTCGCCACTTCAGGCCTCAGAACAGCAGACATAGCTGCATTGCCTGGAAAGGGTAGCATGCCCCTCCAGGCTGGACTAATCCTCCCCAGGAAAAGACCCAGAACTCACTGAATGTATACAGTCTCCCAGCATGCCTTCACAGCCTGCCTCTCTGGGACAGATCAGGGCTGTATCAATATTCATCAGACTTTTTCATTAAGGCTATTTGGGTGATTTCTGTTATCATTATGACTTAAAAAGGAGCTAAACAACTGTGATAATAAATAACTTCATATGATCACTATTCTTAAAAACATTTTTTGTCATGGTCATATTTTCAATATCAGTGTCAAAATATCATGATTTCTGCCAGGGGATGCAAACGTTTGAGCACAACAGTAGTTACAGTATATTGGCTCAGCTTGGACCAATGTAACTATATATATACCATACCTGGCTGATGCCCCTAGAACCTGGAAATCACTGAAGCATCCACATCCAATCACTGGCTAAATCCTGCCGCATCAACCTCCGGAACATTTCCAAAATCTGCCCCTGCCTGACCAATGACACCACAAAACAACTTATCCATGCCTTGGTTTTATCCTGCCTTGATTACTGCAACTCCCTGCTCACTGGTCTACTGTTACACAAGGCTATCCCCCATTCAGTCTATTATGAATGCTGCTGCTAGACTCATACACCTTACCAACCGATCAGCGACTGCTGCCCCTCTCTGCCAATCCCTTCATTGACTTCCACTAACCCAACGTATAAAATTCAAAACACTAACCACAGCTTACAAAGTCATCCACAACACTGCCCCTAGCTACATCGCCAACCTCATCCACAGATTTTGCCCAAATCGCTCACTCTGCTCCTCCCATGATATCCTCCTCCCTAGCTCCCTCATCACCTCCTCCCACGCTCGCCTCCAGGACTTCTCCAGAGCCTCTCCCATCCTCTGGAACTCCCAACCACAGTATGTCCGGTCAGTCCCCACCCTGTCTGCCTTTAGGCGATCTTTCAAAAACTCACTTATTCAGGGAAGCCTGCCCCACCTCCACCTAAGAACTGTACTTGAATCACCTCCACCAGATCATCCCCTGAAGCTATCACCTTTTGTATCACCTCCCCCTTCCTTTAGATTGTAAGCTCCACGAGCTATTCTATTCCTTCTGTACTGAAATGTATTGTAATTGTACTGTCTCCCTTATATTGTAAAGCACTGCGCAAACTGTTGGAGCTATATAAATCCTGTATAATGATAAATAATAATAATAAGTACTCAACAGTATTCCAGTGATCTCCACTTGCTACTAGGTCTTGTGCTGAGTGGCTGGCCTGCTGCATTGTGAACACAGGAGGTCAGCCACTCGGCACCAGCACCATTCAAAGAATCTGCTGAATGAATGCAAAACATTCCCTGATTGGACAAGGTGGAGAGGCGGAGTGGTGACATCATGCTCCCCACCTCGTTTAGTCAGAGGACATATTGCATTCATTCAGAAAATGCAATGCATTCTCTGAATGGCACCTGTGCCAAGCAGACAACCTCCTGTGTTCAGATTGTAGCAGGGTAGCCACTTACATGGGACCCAAAAGCAAGTGGAGATCACTGTATTAGTGGTGTCTCTATCAGTGATTTCCATCTTCCAGGAGCCTCGGCGAGGTACGGTAAAAACATACAGTATCACCCAGAAGTGAGTCCACCCCTCACATTTTTGTAAATATTTTATTCTTTCTTTCCATGTGACAACACTGAAGAAATTACACTTTGCTACAATGTGACGTAGTGAGTGCACAGCTTGTATAACATGAACATTTTCTGTCCCCTCAAAATAACTCAACAATTAATTAACAATTAATGTCTAAACCTCTGGCAACAAGAGTTACTGTTTAACCCCCCTCTGGGACCTATAGTTAGCTGCTGGGTGTAGGCTGAGGGCAGGGGTGGACTGACAATTCATGGGGATCATGGGGCCCCTGTGTCCTTGCCCACACTCAAAGCACATCCAAAAAAGCCTATAAAAAGTACCAGGGGCATTTCATGGGGCCCCCTACTGACCCTGGGCACTCTGGCAGTACCCGAGTGCCTGAATGGTCAGTCCGCCCCTGGCTGAGGGGCACACTGGCTGGTGTCCTGAACAGCAACTGTCCATCTAGTTTCTTCTACAAAAGGACTTTACTCCATACTCTGAACAACCTGCTACACAGTTCTACCAAGAAAATCCACAGATCCACTAAGAGAAAACTGTCCTCAATTGTGAATATTTAAATTCAGAGTATCCCAGTATATCCCTTTGCTATCCCAGTTCTACAACAAAAGTAAAAACAAAAAAAAAACTTCAACCTCTAGACCAGCAATGGGCAAACTACGGCCCGGCGGACCTTTTAATCTGGCCCGCGGAGCTAGGCTCCCGCTAGGCTCCTCTCACAGTCCGCCCTGAAGACCGGTGTAGCATGAAAATCTGTCTCCTATGAGGATCTGTCCCCCTCGACTTATCTGCGCATGTGCCGGAGATCGCCGATCGGCTGCTAATGCCTGAAACTGGCACATGCGCAGATACGTCGAGGGGGACAGATCCTCATAGGAGACAGATTTTCATGCTACACCAGAACGGCGTGGGAACACGGCGAGAGGAACGCGCGGAGCAAAGGTAAGTGAATTGACACAGGGGGGACTTGGGGACTTAATATGGGGGATGAATTACTATAGGGGGGATGAATTACTATGGGGGATGAATTACTATATGGGGGATGAATTACTATGGGGGATGAATTACTATATGGGGGGTGAATTACTATGGGGGATTAATTACTATATGGGGGATGAATTACTATGGGGGATGAATTACTATGGGGGATGAATTACTATATGGGGGATTAATTATTATGGGGGATGAATTACTATATGGGGGATGAATTACTATGGGGGATGAATTACTATAGGGGGGATGAATTACTATAGGGGGGATGAATTACTATATGGGGGATGAATTACTATAGGGGGGATGAATTACTATATGGGGGATGAATTACTATGGGGGATGAATTACTATATGGGGGATGAATTACTATATGGGGGATTAATTACTATGCTTACTATGGGGGAATATTACTATACTTACTATGGATGACACATACACATAATTCATCTACTCTTGGTCCAGCCCCCGGGTCCAATATATGAACCCATTGCGGCCCTCAAGTCAAAAAGTTTGCCCACCCCTGCTCTAGACTGATCATTGTAGTAATAAGTGAAAGTTGTGTGCAGCTTGGCTATCGGAAATACTGTGTGCTTGACTGCGGATGAAGATTTGGGGAAAGGCCTAGAAAAAATACCAGCGGCTCCTATGGGGGAAGTGCTACATGTGAATGATTTCTGTGCCCTCCCGCCTCCATGGGGCTGTCATGATTTTTTTAAATGGTAAAACAAAGTGAGGTTTTTTTTTTTATGTACTTGAACATGTTTAATTTATACCCAGACAAAGGGTTAGGTGGAATCACCATGACTCCTGGAATGTTTCAGTGTTGTCTACCATGACTTGTTCTGTGTCTTTCCTAGCCATAGAAGATTTTTGATGTGCCTTTTAGGCATGGTTTAAAATTGAATTAAACAATAATTTTTTTAAAAATGATGAGGTAGGGTTTTTAAGACAGAAAATACCCTATTGGTCTCTTCCCTCTGCGTGTCAGCTGTAAGGTACACTTATGCAGGCCATAGATGGGTCGAAAACCAGCCATTTTTAAAAAAAAAAAAAAAAAAAAATCGGTCGTTCAATAGGCCGACGTTACCACCAACGGTAAAAAAAAATCAGCCGATTTTCGTCCCGTCTACGGCCGGCATTTAATTACTCCTGTCCCTGCAGAGAGCTCCGCTATTATATTTGACATTAAAAAGTATGGCGGTTGCAACATTGTATCTATTTGTATCCATTTCGGATACAGATGTTTTTATTCGGATACAAATAGATACATTGTTGCAATTGCAATACTTTTTCATGTCAAATATAATAGCGGACTGGAATTCTTCTTTTTCTTCTTTTTTTCCTCTTCTTTTTTTCTTCTTCTTCTTGCCCATCATTGCCGCAAAAATTGGCCGATCGGCAAAATCGGCCGATTTTTTTCCAACTTTACTGATAAAAAAAATGTGCCAAAATCCAGAAAAACAGCCGACCAATTAACCGATTAACAGTGCAAAAATCGGTCGATTTTTTTTTCGGCCGAGTAATCGGATGATTTTTGACCATCTATGGCCTGCACTAGTCACACATGCGCAGCTCTGCATGCATTTACGGCACCTGTGTGTGACACCCGTGCGCATGCACAGGAGTGACATCATCGCAACTGAACCATTTAAGAGGCCAGAAA